TTCATCAGGAACGATAAAACCTAAACATTTGAGAGCCAGGGATGTAAGGATAAGAAGAAAAGTCACAAGCTTAGGGAATGGCCAAGTTCATCTAAGAGTCAACTTTGCATAATATTTTCTCCATTTGTTTATACTCTAGCCCAAAATGATTAAATTTAGCTAAAACAAAATTGATTTAATAAAAAAAAAAAACTTCCATCGGTTTGCTCATTGTTGAAGGCCGTACGGTGACCATTAGTTGTTAACTTCTATGTCATTTGGTCTCTGATGGAAAGTTGTCTCATTTGCAATCATGCTACATCGATCTTCTTATTTTTATATTGACCCATGAACCATGAAATTCGGCCAAGGTCAGACAAACCTGTCTGACAGACATGTACACCATAAAATTCTACCATACACCAAATGTTGACCTTTGGTTTTAGTAAACGGGCATGAGAAACATACCCGACTGAGATAACTTAACACTGCCAGACAGACAATCCTCTCTGGTACTGAGGGGGGGGGGGGGGGGGGGGCAAGGGGTTTAACTGTTGTGCTGTTTTGGGGCAATTTAATTCATTGTTATCTGTTATTCTGAAAATATATTTGCTGTTCGATGTTATTGTCTTATTCCTTGTTAGCTGTTATTGGACTATTAGTTTTTTTGTTATCTGTTATTGTGAGAACGTATTTGCTGTTACCTGTTATTGAAAATTGGAATGTTAGCATCTTGACAGTCAATCTTCAGTAGAAATTGAATTGGGATCTTTCCACTAGTAACATGGTGGTCCCAACAGTGGCGGATCCAGGGGGGGGGGGGGGGGGTTCCTGGGGTTGGAACCCCCCCTTTTTTTTGGACGATCAATGCATTTGAATGGGGACATATAGTTGGAACCCCCTCCCCCTCCCCCTTTATCCTAGGTTAGGAACCCCCATTTTATAAATGGCTGGATCCGCCCCTGGGTCCCGTATTCGAAGAAGGATTCAATTAACATATAGACATTTGAATGGGTTTACAGTACACTAGTCATTTTTGGGACCCTTTATGGCTTGCTGTTTGGTGTGAGCCAAGGCTCCGTGTTGAAGACCGTACTTTGACCTATATTAATGGTTTACTTTTACAAATTGTGACTTGGATGGAGAGTTGTCTCATTGGCACTCATACCACATCTTCTTATATTTAATCACAGATCATCACATAAGCATTTTAATATTAGTTGGGTCCAGGACCATTACAGTATATATTATTATTATCCTTTGTAATAAATTCCTTTTTCTATGAACATGTATTTAGAATTATCTTGATTTTTACGTATAGGGATAACGATCCTTGTTTCCCTGTATGTGCATATTAAATTCGAACATTTCTTTTAAAATATTACAAAAATTCGTAAGGGTTCCGGGGAACCCAGTACTAGTGTCTCGCCTACTTTTGATGTAAGTCGCAGGCTCAACAAAATGGGTAAAAAGTTATTAAATAAATGGGGAATGTGTCCATGGGACACAGATGATGCCCACGCTTGCATATCATATACAGTTATAAAGGGACATTACTGAAGAACAGTAAAAGTGACTCTACCCAAATTTGTACTTGATCTGAGTTTTGTGGTATTACGTACTGTGTATAAGTTTCATAAAATTTGGTTGATGCAAACTTAATTTACTCGGAGAACGGAAACAAAAAATTCAGTAATTTTTCCATTTGTAAAGGGGCATACCTCTAGAAAATTTAGTGACAACCCCAAAAATCAAACTTGATCCGTATTTTGTGGTAATAAGCATTGTGTACAAGTTTCATAGCATTTGGTTGAGGCAAACTAAAGTTAGAGAACGGAAATAAAAAATTCAGCAATGTTTCCATTTGTGAAGGGGCATAAGTTAACTCTAGAACGATTAAAGTGACGCCCTCAATATTCAAACTTCGATCTGTATTTTGTGGTAATAAGCATAGCGTATAAGTTTCATCGCATTTGGTTGAGGCAAACTAAAGTTAGAGGACGGAAACTAAAAATTTCAGCATTTTTTCATTTGTAAAGGGGCATAACTCTAGAATGGGTAAAGTGACGCCCCAAAAATTCATACTTGATCTGTATTTTGTGGTAATAAGCATTGTGTATAAGTTTCATAGTATTTGGTCGAGGCAAACTAAAGTTAGAGAACGGAAACAAAAAATTCAGCAATTTTTTTCGTTTGTAAAGGAGCATAACTTTAGAACGGTTACAGTGACACCACCAAAATTCAAACTTGATCTGTGTTTTGTGGTAATAAGCATTGTGTATAAGTTTCATAGCATTTGGTTGAGGCAAACTGAAGTTAGAGAATGGAAACCAACTTTGGGACGTACGCACATACGGACGGACGTATGTACAGACGGACAAGGGTAACACTTAATGCCCCCTCCGCTACGGCTGGGGCAAACACATTTCCTCTATATACTATCTTTTGATTGTAAGAAGCTTCTGTCCAAGTTTGGTAAAAATCCAGGATGGTTTATGAATCTAATAAATGTTTTAAAGACTTTAACTGCAGACTGTATGTAATGTTAACTGAAAGAAAAACTTATTAAAGTCCATTTATACAATCATGTTATAAGTAAAATATAGAAATACAAGAAATAAATTTTTACAAAATTTCCTTCTAGATACAAGCTTTGGTCCAAGTTTGGTAAAAATCCAGGATAGTTTAAGAAAGTTATTAATTTTTTTAAAACTTTAACCACAGAGTGTAAACTGGCAGAAAAACTTAAGTCCATGTATAGGTAAAATACGGATAAGTAGGATTATTATTATATTTTTACAAAATTTACTTCTAGATACTATTTTATGATCATAAACAAGCTTCTGTCCAAGATTGGTAGAAATCCAAGATATTTTAAGAAAGTTATTCAAATTCTAATTATTCATTTACTGTTATCTGTTTTTATCCCTTTCCAATTCCTTGTTATCAGTTATAAACCAAATCAATTTGCTGTTTTCCTGTTATTGGAACCCCCTTGCCCCCTCCCCCCCCCCTCCCGGTACTAAACTAAGTAAACGGTCTCAAAAACTAGAATTGAACACAATTCCCTCTGGTAACATACCTGTCGCTTTTAGACATGTACCAATGAATATAAGAAATATACGGACTTATATAGTAGAAAAAGTCTGACCTTTTAAGCTTAAATGAACCCTTTACAGTTCACAAGTTTTAACTTCGTAAACTGCATAGCTTTTAGGATCTAAAAATAACTATCTACCCGAAAGACTACGAATAATTTTTACATATCAATGCTCTGATTGACTAAAATATGTATCAATAAATAAATGAAATTAAGTTACTAAGAGTTCGCGCTTCTGCACGAGGTAAATCCCACTTACGGTCTGAATGTAAAATCAGCTAAGAATAAAATGAATGAAAACTTAAAGGCTTTGAACAAATATGGACCTAAAACCCTTATAATTAATGAAAGGAGATAAAAATGAACACAGGTGAGAATTCTGAGAAAATTCGGTTAACTTCGAGCCCAGAAACTTAGTTAAATTCATATTTATTACGAAAACTATATCGATGGCAAAACCAGAACTGTCACACTCAACAAAGATATTACATTTCACAAATTAAGAAATTGCATTTACACATTAAGAGGTTACATTTCACAAATCAAGAAATGTAGAAAGTCATGTAACGGATGGAAAAATACATGTTACAAATTAAGAAATTACATTTTACACATTAAGAAACTGCATGTTACAAATTAAGAAATTACATTTTACAAATTAAGAAACTGCATGTTACAAATAAAGAAATTGCATTTTGCAAATTAAGAAATGTATAATTAAGGCGGATATTCCCTTCCATACTTCGGTGATTAATTAATTACAAACACTGTATCCGATTCTCCTTTTTGAGAAATGTACAATTCAAAACTATCATTCAATTAATGTTTATATACATGTAATTAATCCAAAATATACCGTTATTGTTGTTTTATGTAATTGAGCACGCGCACTCTTGGAAACACATGTTATGATTGATATAAAACAAACATTAAGTTTAATTTGTAATCAATAAATTAAATCGTCGTCCATAGTTTGAGTCTACTTTACTCGTATTAATACAACAAAGTCACGAACTCAACGAGATCTCAATCGGTTTCATTTACACTAACACATAATATGTATAAAAAGAAAACATAATCCATTATATTTCATACAAACCTGAATGAATATTAACTACAAAAATACAAAGATTATCTAAAGCGTACTTCTAGTTTCAAATCGAGAGATAAACAACATATTGCTCCAAGAAAATTTGAACACGGTTGTTGCTGGTGTAGATGCATTGTCTATCTTGTCAAAGATTGTAAGTATTACATATTTATTAATTTTAATACAAATACTGTACGACACAGGATTAATTATTTCAAACTAAAAGAAAAGGCCTTAAGTATTAGATAAAAGAAATTAAAAAAATTAAAATAAAAAAAAAATATAATGTCAAAATTTAAGTTTAATTTCAAATCTCAACAAACCGTCTATAGATTCTTTTTTTCTTTCTATAATTTGATTCGATAATAAGGTGATGTAATTAAATTTATTCATTCTTGATAGACTGGCATGAGTGCATATTTTCGCATATTTGATATAAAAAAGAGCAAACTTTTCCAAAAAGATATACAATTTAGATATTTATTATTCCCGCGAGACATTACTTTATATTTATTTAGTATTTGAACTAAAATTCAGCAAGTATTTCTTATCAAACTCATATTGTCTCTATAATTTCAATATGATAATATTTGTTTCTTTGTTCCTTAGGTTCAAGGAAAAGTTGGAGAACCATCACTCGAAAAGGATGCCGTTACTATGGAAACAGTTCTAGGACACCTATCAGCTGCCTTCTTGTCATCCCAGAAGAATAATTTGGACACATCAAGCTTTGCCGCAAAGAAACAATCTGAAACAGGAGTCTTTCGGAATAACATTGATTCATCAGAATGCTTCAGTGTCGATGCAAACGACATCTACACAACCTCATTAATGTCAACTGACTTAGAACCATGTGACAGCGACGACCAATCAGAACCAGAGATAGACTATGAGGAGGAACTACTCTCTAGAATACTATACTATGGCCAGTACGAAAATTCAGAGGCAGCCGTTCCACCAGCTAAGACAATTTCTGTTCCACCTTCTTCGTCTACGCCTCTAGCCTCATCCACTATGATAGAAGATTGTTCAGAATCCATCCTTAGAAACAACAGAAGTCGTAAAAACCGGTCTACACCGCTTGCCTCATCTACCATGATGGAAGATCTTATAGCAGATATACAACAACATAACCAGGAGACAACTAGTTCCGGAAGTATCATGACATGGTCTATTGATAACAGCACAAATACTGCATCACTCAAAGAGCACTACCATAGATATTTTAATGTCGACAGCAACAATTCCTACTCAGATTCAGACACCACTGGTATGTCAGCTAGGTTATCAAGCACATTTAACTCTGATGACAGCTTTTCCAGTGACGATGACTCAGAAGTGACGTCATCGGAATTCTGGAACAGAAATCGCCATTTGCCTCGTACCAGTACCAGTGTTAATCTCAATGAGATGACCACCAATCCAGCATCTCTAAAGAATTGCCGGAAGAAAAACTCAAATAGTAAACAACCACTGTCGAAACTGCTATTCTTCATCCGGGGAATCAAAAAGAACATTACGAGAAGAACTTCTTCAAAGGACAATAGCAGACGATAAGCCGGATTTGTACTAACTTTGGAAACACTTTTAAGTCTATAAAATAGTGCTATATTGTTAAGTTTATACGTATACGTGAAATAACTAAAATGAAAATAAATATTAATTTAAGAATACTGGGTTTCTTTGTTTGTTTGATTGTCTGTGTGTTGTTGTTGTTTCAATCAAGGACTCAAGTTAGTTTGGTTTAGCTATTATGTGTCCTTCAAGTCAAAATAGTAATTTCACATTATTAAAGCAGAAATTTTGGTATCAGCAGGTTATCAATTAAAACAAGCTATGGATTAATAACTATAGATTTGATGATTATAAGACAAATTTTAGATCGTTTTTTCGCTGATTTTATGTACTTTCTAGACAAATGTGCATCACTTTGTAAAGAACTAATTCAGTAATTTTTCAAAAATTAAAAGAGAAAGATGCATTAGTTTTTCGGTTTTTGGTAATAGTAAAACTAGACAAATTTGTATAGTATTACAAAGTTTGACCAAAATCTGTCACATATAAAAAAGAAGATGTGGTATGATTGCTAATGAGAAAACTCTCCAAAAGAGACTAAATGACACAGAAATTAACAACTATAGGTCACCGTACGGCCTTCAACAATGAACAAAGCCCATACATAGCCCTTTTTGCTGTATCTCGGCCTTATTATTACCTCAGTAATATACGTTCAAAGTTCACTATTAGTTTTCCGATACGAACAGTTTCATATACAAAAACAAAAATTAAAGAGGGAATAAAAACAATGTAACAGTAGACCACGGTTTGTCTTCAGAAATTGCTACTACACCATGCAGCCGGGGTTCCAACCTGAACATTAGCTCATGGCTCAGTAGCCGGCATCTCTTTCTTTCTTTTTTTCCACATATCGTTTCATTACCATAGCAGTAAATCGATTTGATCGCGAATAATTTCACGTGAAAAAGTGGTCTACAAGCAAAACCTGGACCGATTAATTCGAATAAACACGATCTCAAGCGGACACTGATATAAGCAATTCACCAAAGTTTTATGAAAATTGGTGAAAGCGTTTTTGAGTTATTTCCCGAAGTGTTGACGATGGACAGACAACGGTATACCATAATACGTCCCGTAAACGGGCGTTTGAACACTCGTATAACATGTAAAGGTGCAAGTCGGCAGCTTTGTCCCTTTAACGATTTTAGTGTTGATTGCATTTCCTTGGTAAAGGTATATAGGCCAACGGAGGGTTGTCTCATTGGCACTCATACCACATCTTCTTATATCTATTAACGGTCAACTTTATTCAATTATGCACTGAAAACATAAATTAGTCAATTTGACCAATTTAATTGGTCATTTTGACTGTCCTCTAGATGACAATGCACTTTAATCATTTTGACTATGCTCTTTGTCGTTTGACTAGATGGGTAGTCACATTTGACTGAGTAGGGTGGTAATTATGACTATGTTTGGAAGTCAAAATGACCATATGTTATACTCGTTATGACGAATTTGATTGTTCAATTGACTATGCACATTTGTCAGTTTGACAATTGAATGCAGTCCATATGACTTATTGAAATAGTCGAAAGTGACCATGTTGTTTAGTCAACATGATTACTGTGAATAGTCACGACTGTTAGACTGTTATTTTAATTTGTGTTGTGTTTTTTGTTCCACCAATTTACTTTGTGTGTGTTTCTATCCGTTTTGTACTTTTATGTTTCATTCTTCTGTTATTCTACTTTTTTTTTGTTTCTCTTCCATAGGATTGACAAATACATCTGGAATATAATATCATTAAAAATTGTTGTTTTGGTGCGCATAAATGCTTGTCATATAAGAGAGGGACGAAAGATACCAGAGGGACAGTCAAACTCATAGATCGAAAACAAACTGACAACGCCATGGCCAAAAAAAAAAAAGACAAACAGACAAATAATAGTACAGATGACACAACATAGAAAACTAAAGACTAAGCAACACGAACCCCACCAAAAACTGGGGGTGATCTCAGGTGCTCCGGAAGGGTAAGCAGATCCTGCTCCACATGTGGCACCCGTCGTGTTCTTATGTTATTACAAATCCGGTCAATAGTCTAAATCGGTAGGTCACATTCGTGAAAAGGGCAGGGTATTGTAGTTACGACATAAGGAACATATCCGATATCATCTGTGAAACGGTTTTTCCATAACGGTCAACCAACTCGTGATGGCGTCCGTAAAATTTACGAAGGGATGATTTCAACTTCACCATTTGGAACTCTTGGTTTAATAGCTTCCTTGTGAGCAGCAATCCTCTATCAAGGAAATCATGATAGGAAATACAAGCCCGGGAATATCGTATCAATTGGGAGATATATACTCCGTATGCAGGCGCTGCTGGAATGTTGCTACATAGAAATGGAAAGTTCACAATTGGGAAGCTGAAATCATCTCTTTTGTCGTAAAGTTTTGTTTTCAACCGACCCTCATTGTCAATTTCTAGATTTAAGTCAAGATATGAGGCAGAGTTAACTGTATCTGTAGTATCCTTTATCTCTAGTTCGATGGGATAGATTCGTTCCACATAGTCACCAAATTTTGTATTATTTAGTGAGAGAACACATATGGTACAGGGACTTATCTGTTAAAAAATGTTGTTAAATATTATTAGTATGGTATATCAATAGATGTCTTACTGTCCTTTTGTCTATAGCTAAGATAGTCTCATTGCTGAAAATGTCACTTTATAAATATTGTTCGTCAGAAGCGCTTTTCTGGATTTATCTTTATCAGAAACGCTAAGACTTAAACATTGAAAACCAGCTTGTAAAAAACGAATTAACGTCAGAAGCTATAAGAAAAGCTAAATTTATATATTCATCTATATTATCAACTTCGTCTGATTTTTCTCCATTTGTTCATTCAAACGTGTAGCCGCAACTGATCTAATTGAGCTACACAAAAATGACACATTTTAAAGAAAGTTTCAAAGAGTGTAAAAAAAATGGAAATATAGTAGGATTCCAAAATGAGGAAACTGTTCATGAAGAACACAGGATACAGATATTACAAGAGTACACGAGCTTTAGGGGTCCTCGGTGGCCGAGTGATCTATATAGTTGAACTACTGTATCACTATAGCCTGTCAACACCAAGGTTGACTCCAATCTTAATGGACTATGATTATCAGTTTTCCTAACTAAAGTCGGTGGTTCTCTCTGGTTTCCTCCACCATTACAAACTGACCGCAACGAATGCTGAAAGTGGCGTTTAACATCAAGATTAAATCAATCACGAACTTGAATGTCTCGTCTGCTGTACTGATCGTGTATGATTAAATTCTTTAAAATAATATTTTACTCTATCATATACAATTAACAGAATTAATGAACCATGAGGTAAGATCAGATAAATATGTTACTAAATTCTTCCACAGATATAAAGATTTGGTTTTGAAGTTTGGTTGTACCTGTAGAAAACTTATTTCAAACGGGAAATTTAGAAACGATCCTGGTAAACTTATCGATCCTTTAAATAAACTTATTCTAAAAGGTTACCAATTCAACACTGTAATTAGATCATTAAATATTGTTTTTATTGGTACTAATATTGATTTTGTTATCAGTAGATCAAAAGCAAACTAAATATTATTGTTATATACATATACACATTCATGGATCTACAATCTGTCGATACCTGTATCTTGCCATTGCACAAGGTCATGTTTTTCTCCGACTGTTTATGACGTCTTTACACTGAATCCATTGGATGTTGGATGTGTACGGATGGATAATTTAGTCTTAGATGCATGATTTTTTTTATTAGTTGTTAGTGGCTTTGAACTAGCTGTCAGTAACTGCGAGTACTCTCAGATCTGTACTTAGTGTCTTTTTGTTGTTTGGATGTACAAGTATCCGGCCACGTCCACTTGTATTTGTATTATTTGTATTTGTATCCATCTGATGAGTTCAGCCTCTTTCAACTGATTTTTATAGTTCGTTCTTATGTTGTACTGTTACACCACTGGCCCAGGTTAGGGGGAGGGTTGGGATCCCGCTAACATGTTTAACCCCGCCACATTCTGTATGTATGTGCCTGTCCCAAGTCAGGAGCCTGTAATTCAGTGGTTGTCGTTGGTTTATGTGCTACATATTTGTTTTTAGTTCATTTTTTGTACATAAATTAGGCCGTTAGTTTTCTCGTTTGAATTGTTTTACATTGTCATTTCGGGGCCTTTTATAGCTGACTGTGCGGTATGGGCTTTGCTCATTGTTGAAGGCCGTACTCATTGGAAATCATATATACCACATCTTCTTTTTTATATGCAAACCATAAATAAATTCCGTACACCAAATATCGTTGACCTGCTGCTTATAATATCGGAGAAACAGCTAGACCTAACCACAAAACTTAACATTGTTTATGCTTTTGTACATAAATCAGGCCGTCAGTTTTCACGTTTTAATTGTTTTACATTTGTCATTTCGGGGCATTTTATAGCTGACTGCGGTATTCGGTTTGTTCATTGTTGAAGGCCGTACGGCGACCTATAATTGTTAACTGCTACATCGTTTGGTCTCTGGTGGAGATTTGTCTCATTGGAAATCATACTCCATCTTCTTATCTTTATATTGACTAATTCACCATGACATGTGAACCGGTCTGACAAATATACACCAAATGCTGACCTATTGCTTAGGGTATATTAAAAACATACCCGACTGAGAATTAACACTGCCAGACAGACATGTACACCTTGCAACCATTCCATACACCTTATATAGTTCCGACTTATTGCTCATTTTATACGATGGCTTTACCATGAAAAATTAACATTGCCTAATGAGAATAAGGTTAAGGTACGATGCAACCTGCAAGTCAGACAGCTTACAATCATTCCTTGAACCAAATATAGTTGACCTAGTGCTACTAGTGTTTAAGAAACAGACCATGAAAATGTCAAGGTCAGATGAACTCCCCCAGACAGACATGTACACCTTACAAACATTCCATACACTGTACCGTATAGTTGATTTATTGCTTATAGAATATGAGGAGACCATGCAAACCATGGAAAAAAACGTTGACTAATGACCCATGGAAATGAGGTCCCATGAAAACGAGGTCAAGGGTAAATGATACCTACCAGACAGACATGTACACCTAACAATCATTCCATACATCACATTATAGTTGACCTATTGCTTATAGTATTTGAAAAACAGACCAGAACACAAAAATTTAACATTGACCAATGAATCATGAAAATGAGGTCACGGTCAAATGAAACCTGCCAGATTGATATGTTCATCTTACAATAATTTCAAACACCACATATAGTAGACGTACTGCTTATAATATGATAGAAACGGACCTATGCTATGCAGTATGGGTTGTGCTCAATGTTGATTGACTGTTGTTTAACGCCACTTTCAGCAATATTGGCTATTTCGTTGCGGTCCGTTTTTATTGGTGGAAGAAGCCGGATAGCCCGGAGAGAACCACCGACCTTCGGCAGGAAAACTGACAATCCTTGTCAATTGGATTCGAGCGCACATGCCACGCGCGGGGTTCAAACTCATCACCTCACTATTGATAGGCTAGTGATATAGTAGTTTGAGCTACTTAGCCCACTCGGCCACCTGTTCATTGTTAAAGGCCGAACGGTTACATATAAATGCTTACTTGTACTTCATTTTGTCTCTGGTGGAGAGTTTTCTCATTGGCATACTACCACATCTTTTTCTGTCTATTCACTTCATTTTTACCATTCATCACTGATCAATGAAATGAGGTTGAGGTCAGATGAACTCTTGTCTGACGGACATGTACCTTGCAAGGAACGATTATACCAAATATAGTTATCCTATTACTAATAATAAGTGAGAAATTCACATGACAAAAAACTGTACATTTTGAGCAGTCGCTGAACCATGAAAATGAGGTCAAGGACACTGCACATATGACAGATGAAAGCTCCGTAATATAAGGCATCTATATAAAAGGTATGAAGCCTCAAGATTTTCTACCCTCTAAAATATAAAGCTTACTACAATTAGTTTACGTTAGCCGCCGCCAGATTGTAATCCCTGTCTTGCGTTTTCCGACTTTCGTCCCGGGCGAGACAAAAATCAAAAACATAACAAAAAATATTTAATATACAGGAATCATATTAACAAAATAAAGTTGCCAATAAAGCAACAAATCGGCACTATCGTCTCTGTTTAAAACAGTAAAGTGCTGATTTTGCATCATGCACCATTATCCAAATTCGTTGTCATCCTCCATAACCATCTTGAGATCGATGTCCTGTATCCATCTAATTTTGGCCTGAAAAAGAATAATATCTGATGAAATTGGAATTTAAATTGGGTGTACGTATGAAAATGAGTTATATTTTAGATGGCCATAGTACTTCTACAAACAATTAACAAATCAAGATGCCTTGATATGCTCTGCAAATTTACTTATGAATTGAATGCTTCTTTTTATAATTTTAAAGGGTTGTAAAAGCGTTGCTTGAAGCGCATTTTGTATAAAACGCGAAAGCGATTCATATTAAAAATGTGCGCACGATCAACGCCTTTACAACCCTATAAAATTATAAAAAGAAGCATTCAATTCTTATACTAGTAATTACACTTTTATGCTACAACCATGTTATTGGGAGTTATATCAAGCTGTTTGTTTGTTTGTTTGTTTTACTGTGTAGTAGACCATCACGGATAGCAAGTGCAATCATAGATGTTGTATTTTATAACTGCTTTTGTCCTGAGTGTGCAAGAAATATTAGCTACTGAACTTTAAGCAAGAAACAACTGTGAAAAGGTCATTATATAAAAAAAATAAGCATTAAATCTATTTCATGAAAATAAGGTCACTCAACGTGAAGACTAGCCAGAAGGACATTCACTACGTATAAAAACACCATGGAATTAGTAATGTAACTTAACTGTACACCTGCTTACTTCTTTTTGAAGTAGAACATTCAATTCAAGCAAAATTCTATTAAAATCAGTGTCTATCAAAGTTTCTTTTCAAATAGCTACATGGCTTTTGATTGTTAATGTGAATGATTGCATCTCATTGGCGTGTGCCCCATATTTCCGTTTTAATATATATAAACTCATCATAGATACCAGGATTAGAATTGGGTACGCTAGATGCGCGTTTCGTCTATAAAAAGACTCATCAGTGACGCTCGAATAAAAAAAGTTAAAACTGCCAAATACAGTACGAGATTGCGTGAAAGAGCGTTGAGGAACCAAAATTCCAAAATGTTTTGCTTCGCCTCAGTTGACAATGTTTTCTCGGGGTAACAATCTGCTCTATCACCCTCTCAGATATGTGTTATTTATATATTGACAGACAGCATCCAACTAAAGAAGTGAATTACAGGCTCCGGACTTGGAACAGGTACACACTGAATGTGACAGAGTTGAACATGCAGTCTCTTGTTTTTTCCGTTCCTATCTGTCTTTTTTCGGGTAAATAATGCAACAATAACATCACACGTTTCTGACTCTGAGAATAAAATCAATATATTTTAATATAACTTTTTTCAGAGACAAGTTCCTGTGCAATTGAGCAATAAAGAAAGATAAATCGAATAAAAAGAGACACCAACATCATCAAATAAAAAAGAACGAAAAGAAAAACAAAGGTCCACAAAGCACTATACAGAAAACTAAAGATTGAGCGACACGAAACTCACCAAAAAACCGGGTGATGAACCCGGGTGCTCTAGAAGTCCGACGCACGTTTAGTGAACAACATAAAATGACAAAAGTCACGGCTTTCTGTCTTGTTGCCATACTCTTAATTGTGTTATGCAAGACACTCCAATAAACCAGATTATCATTCAAAGAACAGCTTAATCAAACGGTAAGTAAAATAAAAATCTTCTCCGATATGTTGTTATTACGCAATAATGGCTGTCACTTCGGGTTTTCTTTGATAAGATTCATATCTCGTTTTTCATCTATTGTTTTCATCATTAATTAATCATGCCTCGTTAATGTAACGTACTTTAAGCTGTAAAGTGCATCTGACGTATAAAACTGCATGTGAAAAATACATTTAATCCCGCTGCAAATGTTTGCACCTGTTCTTAGTCAGGAATCTGATGTACAGTAGTTGTCGTCTGTTTATGTAGTTCATACGTGTTTCTCGTTTCTCGTTTTTATATAGATTAGACCGTTGGTTTTTTCGTTTGAATGGTTTTACACTAGTAATTCTTGGGGCCCTGTATAGCTTGCTGTTCGGTGTGTGCCAATGCTCCGTGTTGAAGGCCGTACCTTGACCTATAATGGTTTACTTTTATAAATTGTAACTTGGATGGAGGGTTGTCTCATTGGCACTCATACCACATCTTCCTATATCTATATACCAAACTCACAAATGCAACGTAGTTGTATTAATCGAGTGCATCACAGGTCTAAATATTCCTGAATCCTGCCTGGACGCGACTGGCGTTTTATTTTCGGGGAGGGCTTTCCATCATGGGGCGACTTTAGAAGGATTATGTTAGTACATTTTGCGTCATAGTAAAAGCCCACGATTGAGTTGATATGAGTGATATCAAGCATTTAGTTTGTGTTATGAAGAATCAAAACGTAAGGCTGGGGTACGGGAGGAGAGGGTTTTGACATTTCTTCCCTTGAATAGTAAATACTCCGCCAGTCACAGTCGAATGAGCTAATGGATCGGCCTACGTAATTAGCTCGGTATGTTGCGAGCACTAAATTAGAACACAAGGATCCATTCATTGGTTCGATTACCGGAAGTGACAATGTTGCAGTTTTCTAGTGAGAATTTTGCTCCACCTACTGAAAGTTCATTGCCCGATCGAAGACGGCCGAGTATAATTTAGGCCAAACAAAAAAGTTTGTATGTTTAAGTTTTTCCATCTTTAGAAAAATAGGAGGCATTTTGTGGCATTAAAAAAAGGGTAGAGAGGGAAATCCCTACTTTACCTCTCATTTATTTTGTCCCAACTAATATTTACTTTTTGTCACGATTTTGTTCGTCTGCAATTGATTGACAGTTGAACGATCCAGTTACGTGATTTACTCTTTTTACTGAAAACGTGTAGAACATCTGTCAATCATTTTTGAGTCACTTAATTTGATCTTGGTCAGATGATTGACTTTTAAAGAAGTATATAATCTGTGGTCGCTTTTTGTATAGTTGTTGAACACAATCATAAGTTAATTTTATTTCAATAAAATAGTTTGGAATTCTTTAAAATTCGTATTACTTTATATAAAAGGGAACATTGGATATGCTTTTTTTTAGGGAAAAAACGATTACAGTTTTCTTTAACAAAGAAGCTTAATGAAAATTACAATATATTTCGGAAAATTGTCTTTTCAATCATCGATGATGAAAATTCAATTAATTGAAATTAGTTAAGATCTTACAGAATATTAAAAATTATGTAAGGACTTAATTAAAAATCTTTTATTGAATTTAGAGTAAAAACGATGAAAAATATAGACAAAAAAAAAGAAGCAACAGCATGCTAAATTATCGACTGTACCATTATCAGGTCGATATAGTGAAACAGCTTTAGGAAATAGATTGTGACTCTTATATAATATTTACATTGTGGAAGATTAAATTCAATTTTGCAATACAAGCTGCTGCTTTTTATTTATTTTTTTTTCTTGTTCGCGTTTTGATTTGATGTAATAAATTAATGTACCATAATCATCATGCCTTTTCCATTTGATACATAATGACCCTCCGGGAACTCCTCAAATGTATCAACACCCACAGGAACTAGTTAGTGATTGTGTAGGATATAAGAATCAATTAGCATGTCAGTGTTTTACCAATTGTTCTAATCAAATTAAGTCGGGTTTCCAATAAAGTAGCCAGTATACATTGGCATGCATCTAGCACGGCGGATCCATGATTATTGAAAAGGGGGCGTAATTCCAGAAAACTGAATATATATCGCTGACTGGAGCTTTTCCAAATTTTTTGGGGGCAATTTTATGCTTAAAAATGATACATTTTCCAATCTAGAGGGGGGAGGGGGGGCAAAAGATTTTAAGTCGAACATTCCTCGTCACGAACGGGATCTTAACTCACAACCTCAGAGTTGGCAGAATAGTCATCACTTTAGATTAACTATTTCGACCACTTGGTCTCCGAGGTCCCAGTTACGATGTTCGGATGACCAGGTGTGACACTAAAATTCCATCAATCATTTCATCTTCTAAAAATACTTTTTTATCACTATTGGGAAACTTTTATACAATTATCTATACGAAGTTTATAGACCTTGAAAGTCAACACAATATTTTCTTATATATTTCTACATTTCAAACTCATTCTGATGCTTTGATCTTATTTTGACAAATTTAGGCCAAACTATCTACTTATAACGAAATATCATTTCCAAATTTCGCTTTTATTAACATGATTAATATTTGAAACAAAAAGAATCGTATTTTAAATTTATTGTCTAAATCGTAGCTAATGCCCATTTTAGACCACTTCAACTTCCCAAGTTTTCTTTTAATTTCTGCACGTCCAATTTCTTATTTGATTGATTGATTGATTGTTAGTTGCTTAACGTCCAGTGGCAAATATTTCATGCATATTCAGGACGAATTTTCTTATTTGAAATACAGTTACTAAATTTTTTTTCTGTTTAACAGTTATATCACTGAATTGCGTAAATTTATCATATCTATCACTTAGCCTATTTACCTATAATTGAAGGTCACTAACCCTTTAACATGTAAATGTGTATTTAAATGTTAAAAATACATGTGAAATGTGTAACAGTAAATAATGAACTATGGGAGAAAACGTAAATGGCATCTGGAGTCAGGATGTGGGACAACTTTGTACTTTCTCTCACTCCGTTTTCGCTTCTTTCTATCTGTATTTTAATTCTTTAATTTTGTATTCAAGTCTACCATAGCCCTTCGAATCTTTTTTTATATTATCATATCATTGCACACAAAATAAACAGAAACAATCAGTTGCGGATCCAGGATTTTAAAAACGTTTGGGCTGGGACATGTAAAAAGTCTATGTATTAACCTATATGTAGTCCCATAAGGGGTCCTTCCCCCTACCCTAAAACCCCATAAGGGGGTCCTTCCCTCTCCCCTAAGACCTCCTCCGACAATGCGTTTTAAATTAACGAATATTTTCCGTCCATGACTCCCCACTCAGCATAATGATCCAAATGTAGGACAGTGCATGGCCTTGCAACATTAAAACACTAAATTAATTGCGTCACTCGAGGAGAATGCATTATAAGAATTTTATTTATTTGACGTGTTTGATAAACTACCGTTCTATACAATTTCAAACGCTTGTACATTTCACCGACGTGCTAATCCAAATAATTAAAGCATGCGCGCAAAAAGGGGGACGGATTGTGGTAAAAAGATCAATGCATTGCAGTAACTGTCTTGCCATATGTACTTTTCACTGTTACGTCAGCCCTTGTCAAGAAAGTGAATAAATATAATAAACATGTGAAATTAATGCGACTGATGACAGATAAAAAATCGAACGAAAACATTCGACATCTGTTACCAATTTGTAAACAATTTTCTCGTGATATCCGAGGTGCATATGTTAATAAATTCCTTTCAAATTAGACATGCAGCAAAAACATACCTTCGTTATTTTCCTTCTTTTTTTGTGTCTTTTTGGTTCTGTGCATTATTCATCAATTTTTGAGTGGCTTTTCGGGTATGGCCTGCGGGATCTGGGTGTACGTGTTGTTCCGACTCCTTTTTCGTCCGTCCTTTGCCCCCGTGGTGACCAGAAATTTTGTCCTGTTGAATATTATATTCATCATATTCGTCCAAATACTTTTCATCTGCGTCAGCCATTGTGAGAGCTTCTACGACTTCAGTATTCAATATGTTTATATCGACTATAATTGAAACGTGGCAGGTGACTTCAGTTCACTTTGTTTACAATCGTGACTAAACATCAAATATATTTCATTGGATCGCACTAGACCATATGTTACATTTCCCGCCAAATATAAAAACTTTTCCAAATTACATTAAAGACGGATACCAACACTTGGACGGGAAATTATGAAAATAACGAAATAGGTGAAATGATTAATAAGTATATCAGTCCGCAGATTTCACAAATCTTTTGGTCAGTATTGATTGCAGTGCGTAAAAGATTGTATATATTATATATATTTCGGTTTGGTCACTTTTCACGTAATCTGTGATTTAATCAAATATCTAGTTCCCCCAATATATTGTAACTTATCTATTGGTTGCTAGGTATACAACAAATCCTATTAATATTCCAATTACCATGACGATTACTATGAAAAAACAAATTAGTCCAAATCTTTGCTGTACTTGTCTTCGCTTGTCCGGCAGCAAAATTTCAATCTAAAATTTAAAACAAATGTTCTTGAAAAATCACACCAGACATGTCCGTTTTATTGTGCGTGGTTTGAAATGTAGACACACATATACATGCAAGTCTGGTTATGCAACTTGTACTACTAATTGCGCTCGGCTAACTAAATTCATATTCAAAAGAGATACGTAACAGGCTGGTCAAAATGAAAGGGTATGGTCAAAAGAGAAAGCGTTTCATTTTTTACTTTTCCTGCGTATTAATTTTTAAATGCCAATCTGCCTAAGAATTAGGCAGTGGTGAAAACATGACAAACAAAAACTGGCTTAACTTTACATTAATTTAATTTCAGAATGTATAATGGTGCATGAATATAAGATTCGTTTCCTTTCCCTGTTCTGGTAATTCAAGATATTATTTGGTTAAAATAAGAATTAAAGGGCGATAACTCTGTAATTTGCTATCATTCTAACCAAAATTTATCTAGATATTTCTCGAATTACCAGACACGCCCCTGCTACTGTTTCTAACTCAGGATGAGAGTACTTTTAAAATAGGGTGGTTAGGTCGGTGTTTTTTTTCGGCCCTGTTTTGAATTTTTCTAAATTGTCCGATTCTTACAAAGACTGGCACTTAACAACATATAAATGGCGTCTTTTCCCAACTGAATTATAATCTGTGATTGATAAACGTCTAACTATAATTTTATTGATTTTATAAAATTTTGAGTTTTTCACAAAATAATAAATAAGAAGGACGAAATATTAACCAATTGAAAACCACATTTTGTCTAAAGTAAAGCTAAATGTAGTCTTTTTCAGATACATTTTTTTGTTGTTTTTGATTCGATGAAACATTTTACGAAAACATAAAACTTTTATTTTGTTTTACAATTATCACAAACAGTAATGTGTAGCTCTGAATAACTTTTTGATGTCATGTGTGTATAAAACTATATATAGTTTTTTGATATTAAAGAAATCGAAGTATAAAGTATAATACGTATATTTACATTCCGTAAAAATAAAATTCCGATATAACTACTTTAAACGACTTGCCCGTTTTGAAACAGTTACGTGAAACAAATACATGTACTGTACACCTTACAAGGAACCGAATAAAGGAAGACAAAAGTAACCAGATGAAATGAAGGGTATTTTAAAAGAGAAAGAAGCAAATGAAAAGAAGGAAGAAGAAATAGTTTTAAGGATATTATCATCCCCCTAAAACATATAAGATAACATTAAGGGCCGTAACATTAACAGAATCAACTTTACTGCCGAACAATTTGAAAATCTCAAATGGAAAGTTTATACTAGACTAAAAGTACAACAATGTAGTAAACTCAAAAAAGTAAAAAAAAAAATAAATAGCCAAAGCCGGGCACGGAATAAGAGCTTTGCAGGAGGAAGACACAACTGTTGCTTTTATTCCAAGTTTTACATAATACTAGCGATGAAGCATAATGTGATGTGGCAAATAAATAGCATACTGTCTGTTCATTAAATATTTGTGATAACAATGTTTACATTTCCGTCTGTGCATAAATATTGTCTGATTATGCAGTGAACCTTTCTGTCAGAGTGTGGTTTTTAGTGTCAATTTCTATACGTCAAATATCTGACGATTTATAAATAGTACGCATTTCTTTTGCATGACATTATATACTACTAGATATTAAGTATTTTCTGAGTTTATTTAGCTTGGGAGAAGGATTGGGAGAAGGAAAGACGGAGGAAACAGAATAAATGAATCTGTTGAGAATCGGAACTGGTAAAGGCAGAGCAGACGTCAATAAAATGAGTAAGGATGGTGGTGTAGCGGTAGTATATGAAAATGGAAAGAAATCAACGAAAAGAAATTAAATGCTACGTTAAAAGTCGAAAAAATAAAAAATGAGACAGATAAAAAGGAAAATTAAAATCGAAATGATAATACTTAATTAACATTTCTATATCCAAATAACTCATAAATTTGAATCTCCTTACCGTTTCATGTTTATTCCCAAGTACAATTTCTGTATCCATTCAAAATTCAAAAATATTTAATAATAACGTATAACAGAAAAGTTGACTCGGTCACTGGACGTGTGATGTTAACTAATGAACAATTTCTACGTGAATCTAACCGTAAAATTGAAATTGGTGATTAAAACCATGCTTCGAGGTATAAATGCTGTTACACAGTAATAGGGACTTAAACAACCTTTGCGATACCCATCAATTAATGTGTATATTAAATGATCATATCAAATCGATTTAACATGATATAACGAACATACGAAATTTGATCTCATGTTCACATAGACAAAATATACATACCGTAGTCAATAAAATGTTTGTACAATGCGAAACGAGATTTTAAAATTGTTTACACATTTTTCAAAAGAAATACCAATTAAACGGTAAAATCTCCATTTCATTATACGATAAAGTAAATTTAAATTCACGAGGGATATTTGCAATAAAAGTATTGAAAAAATGAATTATAATTTAAAGTTTTACATTTCATTAGTGCTTTAAATTCTATAGAAATTTGACACTTCGTTTCAATACCATTTGAATGTAAACTTTATGAAATGTGGTATGATTGCCAATGAGACAACTAACTATCAATGGACCAGAGACCGAAGGACGTGGTGTTTAGAGTCTAATCTATGTTCAGCCTTAAATATGTGGCCTTTTCTCGAATCTGTGTCACGTGACATCATGAAACCCAAATACGTGCACCTTTATTTGATCATGGAAGTAATATATAATACTTCCATGATTTGATCAAATCTGTGTCCTTTTATATATTCGGTAGATTTTCAATGTGACGTCACAGAACCAAAAGCTGTGCCCTTTTATTTCACCTCAAATAACTTTGACTATTTGGAAATCAAGGTCTCGTTCCTTATTTGACGGACATAAAAAAGTACTATTGATAGAGCTAAACTATAGCTTTATCCTGTTTTGTTCTGCCTCCTTTTCCCGGGCCACTAACACCAATCGGCCGAATCCTCGGCTGAATCCGTTACTCTCCTCTAGATGGAGGAACGGAATTGGCCGAATGTAGACAAGTGACATGTTACTGTTACTTAATAGTATCAGTAACTATACTTATCATTATCATCAGGCCATAAATACATGTATAATTTCACTATGTCTCAGTTTTGCATATTTTTATTGAGGACTTATGTCGCGTGAAAGTTTACCCAATATTAATCTAGACTATCATTTTTTAAACAAACAAAAATACTGTAACTCACAATTTTTTTAGCAAACGCAAAAGTGCTACCCTAACACCGTTAACGTTTGTCTCAAATATAACTAAGATTAAACCATCTGAAACTGATCAAACACGTGGCAACAATGGAAGAAATGTAAGAGGGTGATGATTGGGGTTTACAGAATAGAGAATAATGGGCAACAAATATAAAGAATAGATAAAAATTAAACAAACAAATAAAGAATAGAGAATAATGAAGTGCTAAAATATAAAAAAAAAAAAAAAGAATACAGAAATGGAGGACCCCCATCCAGACCTTCATGTAAATGGTGTGACACAATATAAGACAGGACATGGCTATGTGACAAGGACGAAGATTGGAGAAAAGAAAGGACATAGCTATACAGATTTGTTTTTTCTCTTTGTTGAAGGCTGTACGGTTGCCTATTATTGCTTACACCCACTTCATTTGAACTTGGGTGGATAGCTGTCTCGTTAGCAATCGTACCACATGTCCTTATTTTTATATGGTGACGTCTATAACGCAATATATAATAGAAGAATTTTAAAAACGGACACAGATTTGAGGCTAGACATAGATTAGACTATTACATATAAATATAAGGAGATGTTATTAAACTGGCCACTCGCTGATTGACACACCACCACAACAGCGGAACAACAGCAGGGGTCCAGTTTAGACATCTGGTATGATTACAAATGAGACAACTATCAATGCATCAGAGACCAATTAAGGACAAGGATGAAAAAAACGGCTTTCAACGATAGGCAAAAACTATACTGTATAGTAAATATAAAAAAGAAGATGTGGTATGATTGCCAATGAGACAACTCTCCACAAGAGACCAAATGACACAGAAATTAACAACTATAGGTCACCGTACGGCCTTCAACAATGAGCAAAGCCCATACCGCACAGTCAGCTATAAAAGGCCCCGAAATGACAATGTAAAATAATTCAAACGAGAAAACTAACGACCTAATTTATGTACAAAAAATGAACGAAAAACAAATATGTAACACATAAACAAACGACAACCACTGAATTACAGGCTCCTGACTTGGGACAGGCACATACATACAGAATGTAGCATGGTTAGCCATTTAAGAACCCGGCATAAAAAAAAATAATGTGAAAAAACGAACGGCCCGATTCATGTTCACATACAAGACGAAATGTACATAGAATGTACATATAGCATGTTTGTTCAAATTGAAAGTGTAACGGGATTTTAAAATTGTTTATACATTTTTCAAAAGAAATACCACTTAAAAAGTGAAATCTCTATGTTAGTATAGTAGAAAGTAAATTTACTCTCACGGGGGATATTTGCAATAAAAGAAATAACAAAATTGAATTACAATTTGAAATTTACATATGATTAAAGTAATTTAAAAGATATGTATGAATTTTCAATTTTAGGGAAATTCTACACTTCGTTTAAGATACCATTTAAAATTCACCATTTGATTATTATTACAATATATAGACGTTTCATAAGATTCGTCATTTTGATTTGGCCGAGGCATTCCAAAAGTTATGTTTAATTCCCAATAAAGTGCAACATCTATTCCGTGACAATGTTAATATAATGCAAAGAAAACATACGAAAGACTTATATTTTTACTCTTAATTTCTATAGCATAAACATTGAAGTTAAAAGAATTGAATGCTTCTTTTTGTAATTTTTATTGGGAAGCAAAAGCATGTTCGTTAAAGTTCACACATTTTTAGTATGAAGTGATTCCGTGCTTCATACAAAAGAAATTCGGTCAATGATTTTACACCGCTATAAGTTTACAAAAACCCATAAAATACATATGTTAATCTGCACTTTTTTTTTTGTAACATTTTGCTATTTTTCCAAAATTGGGATCGTACGTGTTTCCCTTATTCGTAAATCTCTTTTGAGCCAGATTTCACATCAAATATTTGTTTCGTTTTTTTTCTATACCGAACAAAGGACACCGCTTTTAACTTGAAAACAGCAGTTTATTTAAATTTGTTGTTTTGATATTTAATTAGATAAATAATTAGCAAGGGTAGGAGTTACATTGATACGAACGCAAAAACTTCTGAAAGAGAAAACAGATTTCTTAAAAGTTTGTATCATGGGACAACGCATCTGCTAAAGTTTGTTTGAAGTCTTTTTTCCTTTTTTTTTTAAATCAAAACTCCGTTGTACATTATGTCGGTACATGTTCTACCCTTATATAACAATGTATGAAATAATTTTACTTAGGATATTAACGATCAATGAATGACGATTCCGATGATGACGATTACAATTCAGATGATGACGACTCCGATGCCGATGATGGCGATTACAATTCAGATGATGACGACTCCGATGCCGATGATGGCGATTACAATTCAGATGATGACGACTCCGATGCCGATGATGATGACTATGATGGTGATGATGAAAGACAAGTCGACAAATTTTTAGTTACTAAACTCTTTGTTTCAAATTTTCGACAATCTAGGGTCCCACTTCTGAACATTAATACAGCCCCCTCCCCCGGTGCATAGGCGATAATAGTTAGGAGGATTTCTCGGCTATTCTTGACTGAGTGACTTTTGTAAACAAATAGGACGATTTTTTATAATATATATTTATAGCCTTAGGCTAGTCAGATACATATTTAATCCCTCATAATTAAATGTATATACAGTTTTGATGATCAAAGTAATCTAAAATCTTTACAGATTAAAGTAATAAGTCGATTAGATATTATAACAATTTATGTTAAACTTAACCTTTGTATACATGCGTTTGAAGAAGGCATTAGTGTACGCGAACTTAACTTTACCAGTCTGATATATCAGTTTATATCGGTCAAAAATTTGGGAGAGGTTGGTAAATGGGATGGATTTTCTACATTCAAAGCAAAATATATCATGTTGTATTTTCCATAATAGCAATTAAGTTTATTATAAATGGTATTACTAAGATTTAAAAAAAAGCAGAAATTCTTCAATATTTAGGATTCCGAACTCCAGCCTAAAGCTTTCGGTTGGGCGTTTAAAATTTAGTACCTGGTTATAAAACTGAAATAGTGTGCACAATGTTATGGTTATTTCGGCCCCATATGAGTACTCAGAAACAAGTTTGGAAATGTAATAAGATGTTCCTTTAGGCCGAGAGAGAGAGAGAGAGACCGAGAGACAGAGAGAGAGAACGTAATGCAGTAGATTGACATCGACCAAAAAAGGGGTCCAGCTTCTCATCATAATATAACCAAATTCTTTACTAACCCAGGAACCATAATATGTAACCAAAGCCATGGAATTAGGACTTCATGTACACAACTAGTATTTAAAATCAAAAGTACATATTAAAAAAATGGCACTAAATCAGGAGTTAAAACATTACTTTACCTGACATTGTCGGCTACCAGTTTGTGTGTCTGTTTCAACATCGTCCATGTAAGCTGTCCCCTAGGTTTGGAATACTTTTAAATCCACAAAATGAATGCAGCATCATAAACACAACATGATCACGTGTTAAGTTAGCAATGTATGTGCAAAATCGTTTCTTTTCCTTGCGTAATATCCTAACTGTCATAAGCGATTGAAATGTATCAGAAAATAAGATCGTTATCCGAACACCTGTTGCCAACTTCTTCCTCTTTCTCATTGATTGAGAATTATCCTTCGGTATTGAGTTCGGTTGCCAAATTATTCATGTTGTATAGTGTCAAATTTCAATAGAGTATATGTACCTACAGGTATATCGAGTATTTAAATGCATGCCATTATGATTTTTAATACAAAAGGGTGGATAAAGATCAGATAAAAACAAGTTCTTTTGACATGACCAAAAGTTATTTCTTTCTTTAATGTTTTCTTCTTTTCATCTTCGTTCAGCTTCGCATCTTCTTTTTAATTATTTGTAAACACCCAATTACCTTCACCTTAATTATATATCATAATTCAGGTAATATTTAATGCAATAAATTTCAAACGAGGTTGTGTATTGCATTTAAATACTTTAATGCAAAACATATGATTATTTATCAGTTCGTGTTATGTAACTCAAGGCTGCGTAACGAACATACCTTTACCACTTATTATCAAAGCCAAAAAATTAACGCGAATAATATGCACATGCATTCAGTCAAAACAGGCGGAAACTAATCAATTCATGTCGTGGCAGATCTCATAAACAATAATCGATTTTCTGTATAATATTATTTCTTTAATATTATAATGCATTGTAATATATATTCTACATTAACATGACGCGCGCATAGTTGATATGACGGCGGAGTCTCATCCTACTTTTAAAAGTAAAATGTATAACAATGTACTATACCGTTTCTTCGCATAACTAAAGCAACGTTTAAAATAATTTTGTGTGTGTGTGTGTTTGTGTGTTTTTATATATTTGTTTTTGTTGTTGTTTATATATATATATATATTTTGTTTTGTAAATTCAGGAAAAGGAAGAATTTTTTTCGATTCATTTAAAAAAATGAAGGTCTGATTTTCCTGTCGAACTTTATTTTAGAGTTGTACATTTCCCATATTTGGAAAATAACACAAGCTCTGTGATCCATCATCATTGCGGGGCTTTATGTTCTTTTGAGCTCCTTTTGGTTCCGGGCTCTTCTGATAGGACTACGGGTTCCAATGACAGGGAGAGGCCCCGGTGGCCGATTGATCTTAGTAGTCCAACTACTGTATCCCTATATATGCTATCAACACTGACGTTGTGAGTTCGAATCCCGCAGATGGCAGGTGCGTTCGACTCAAATCTTAATTGACTAGGATTGTCAGTTTTCGGTGGTTTTCTCCGGCTCCCCCAACCAATAAAAACTGACCGACACAAAATAGCAAATAGTACTGAAAGTGGCGTTAAAAGTAACCAATCAATCAATCAGTCCAATGACAGGGCTCCAGACTCCAATGCCGGGCTCTGACAAAACTGTTGTGCAGTGTTATAAAGCCCTACATATTGAAGCTATCTGTCTTAATTGTGTGTGTTTTCACATGTTGATCAAATATTTGGTATTCTCAAGTGTAAATTTAGATATTTTGGGTCATTTTGTTATCCAACATTCTCGGTTCTTCTTTGAGGTGCCAGCAGGGGCGGACCCAGCCATTTTTAAAAGGGGGGTTTCAACCCAGGATAAAGAAGGGGGTTCCAACCATATGTCCCCATTCAAAAGTATTGATCGTAAAAAAAAGGGGGGTTCTAACCCCCGGACACCCCCCCTTTCACCCCCCCCCCCCCCTTTTTGGATCCGCCATTGTTTATTCATTGTTAGAGAATCTTCTGCGACAAGCTTATGAAGAGAAATTTTGGTAAGATCCCTAATCCAAAATATATGCGATTGTTTTTAAGTAAAATTTTGTGGAATTCTAATCCTTGTCTATCTCTTTTTTCCTTTTATTTGACACTCAGGAGGAATGTAAAACAAAACATTTACAGTAGTTGAGCCGGAACTTCTGACCTTTCCTAAGCATCCGAATAAACTGTCAATTTCTAGCGGTCGGCCGGGGATACTTGTTGTTCAATCTGCATGGTCAGTGTTTTGTTGAATGCTGATTGATCTTGATTGTCTATTCTTACTTTTTCTTTTCGTTGTCTTATCTTTCTTTGACTCGTGATTTAATGATTTATATCACATGGATTGGCACTAGTAGCAAGATTTAAGTCTGAAACGGTCATTTTGGTCTGATCAAGTCTTAATCGCCTTGATTTACTGCTAGGGAAAAACGTTAAGACCTATTTAGACTTTCAGACTCTGTTCCGATATATCGTGTTCAGTCAGATCAGTCGGGTCAAGATAAACAAGACAGATTCTTCTAGCGTTCAAATAAGACTTGATTAGATCACGTTCAGATAAAATAAGACCAAAGGTAAAAAATCTGTTTAGTTGCTGTAAGATCGTGTTCAGTCGTGTTAAGATTTTAAATATTTTAAATAAAACGAGCGACACTTTATCTGTGTTTATCAGGGGTTACTCCCCTTTATGAAGAAAATCGGCATAGCTTGGAGGATATTCTTTTGTGGTCTTTTAATGTAATACTGTATATCTATTTCATTAAATAACGTATGCAAACGTACAATTCATTTTTCGCGATAGAACTTTTAACATTTAATTGGTTATATAAGAAAAGATTAATTGTTGTAACCGGGAAATGTGTTAGTCATTAAAACTTTGCAGTCGTGCTTTCTGACATAAAGTAGTCCTGTATTTATTCATTCCGCCCGTAAAGATATAATGACAAGTAATATATTCCAAAGATGTTCTGAAATTTTCTTAAACATTTTTTTGTTTCTAATGTATAACTATATTTCTGATCCATATAGAATTTGTCAAAAAAAATATATTCTAAGTATCTAATTTACTTTATATTTTTAAATATTATACAGATGACATTTGCTTGGTGAAAGTTATTTACATTTTATTTAACGGATTATCTAAGCAGTCAACCGAAACGGGTTGTCATAAACTATCTAAATAATTACCCGTGCAACGCTTATGATGTTTTATCCATGACCGTAAAATGAATAAAGTTCCATGTTTTATCTTATATAAGGATTTACCGGGTAAAATTATTACACTGACAAATAAAACATTATTTTTTTCAAAAAAAATGCAACATGAATAAAGAATATTTTAAGAATTTAATTGACAGTTTATATTTACCATTAGGTGCCTATAAAGACCGATGTCGATACCTCTCTTGATTTTTTTTTTTATCATCAAGTTTTTTTTTAGGAGAATTAATACAAGAATAAATCATATAATAGAAAATATCAAACAACATAAAAGTTAAGAAATGATTGATAAAATCTTGTGTACGTTTTATATTTCTGTTTCGTATCAGATTTTTTTTTTATAACACCAGCGTTACTTCTCATTTAAAAAAACAGTGAGATGTTTACTTGCTTTTTCAGAATTGACCAAAAAGCTATAAAATAACGTAGCGAATTGACCGTAATTATAGATTAGAACTTTGTTTTTCCATTTTGAATTGTTTTACACTAGTTATTTTGGGGACCTTTAAAGCTTGCTGTTCGGTGTGAGCCAAAGCTCCGTGTTGAGGCCGTACTTTTAATCTATAATTGTTTTATACTTTGTGACTTGGATGGAGATGATTATTTGGCACACATACCACATCTTTTTATTTAAAGTAACCGGGAGCAGTTTATTATATTTTCATTTCGATAAAAAAGAAATATGCAATTCAGTAAATCAAATCGATTTGTACCATATTGTTACATTCAAAAGTCTTTAACTGAAGTAAATGATGGATAGAAATACATTATTTGTATTGCATCGCTCCTAAAATAATGTCCAGTGTCAAATATTACACATCGATGATCACTTAGATGTTCAACTGATTCAACAGAAAATTAAACTTAGGACTAGGATCAAATGCAATTCATTACGTTACAATTGTATCCAATATTAATATTGCTAATAACATTCAGTCGAGGAAAAGACACATGTGACATTGATATGCATTGGTTTGTTCTAGCCTGATACGGCGAGCGCGTGTCGACAAAAAAAAGGTCATGTTAACAAGAGAACAATTGTTGTGAATCAGAGCCAAATTGACCTTTGTTCCAACTTTACTCATAAATAATGCGTGCTTGTGGACAAAGGTCACAGACGAAAGGTCACAATTCAGTTTCTGAGACTATTATCTTTGAAAAAGAAAATACTTATTTTTAAAAAAATATTTTGTATGTATCTTGAACTATTGTATATATAAACCAACTCTGTAAACAAATGTATTAAATGAACAAATAATTGTTTAGTAAACAAACTATCAAAGTGGCTTGGTACCTAAACAGCTTTATGGTGCTAAGAAATATTATATCATTTGCATGGTTAAAATTTAATAAATCTTCATTTACCAAGGCTAATAAACAATTTCATAAACTTTAAAAAGAATATATGTAATAAAAATTAATTTTTCAAGATATTTCTCTTAATACGTAAACAATTGTCACTTCCTGTCCTGCGACTTTTTGTCCTGTGACTTTTCAGTGTCCGCTTACTGTTAAGAATAGGACCTCCCTTACCCAGGAACTCCCTTACTAATGGAGAGAAAGCTGTCGGGACTACCAATCCTAAGTGTTAGAGAGAATAAAAAGTACACCAGTCATTCTCAATTTTATATGTTTTGCGTAAAACAAAACGGTTTTAAATGTTGAATTTAAGGATTGCTCGGATTTAAAAAATTAAATCTTTTTCGTTTGCTTTTCGTTAAAATCATCCTGAATATTATGTAATATTGTACGCTGAACATTCAACGATCATGGCCAAGCATGTGTTCTTCAAAATGCAATCTGTAGAAGAAAAAACACGGTTTTAAATCATGAACATTGGAAATCAAGAATCGTGTGTCGTGTTCGACCTATAATCCTTTATTAAATAGTCGAAATTGACTATTAATATATAGTTTTTTTTTGCAACTACGTAACTCTATATATGCGTGCTTTTGCCACTTTGCTTAGAAAAAATATCACATATCTTAATTCTCTTTCAATAACATTTGCTTATTCAATTTGCTACTCGTCTACCAAAAAAAATAGATATTGTTTCATTTTTGTCATTTTGGTTAAGTTCTTGGAAGATCTCTCAGGTAAATATCAAAAATGAGTCCAGAGTTTTGACGGTTGTGAATTAAGGATTAGTTACTTTATGGAACACTTATTTCCTTGGATGGTAGTACAAACTT